CAGCTTGCTGATTATTTTTGCCCCTTGCTTTAGCTTTGCCCTTGCCCTTGGCTTTCGGCTTCGCCTTTTCTGGCTTTTTTGCACTGGGTGCACTGCCCTCTCCTTCCAGCTGGTTGCCACCGTTGCTCTGTCCTTGCTGCATGTCATTTTTCTGTTTCTTGTTCTCAGCCTGCTGTTCCTTCCTTGGGGCCTTGCATTTTGTCTCTTCTGCAGGGTTGGTCTTGCGCTTGCGACCCTTGACTTTTCCAGCCATGGCCGACTGCTCCGCAAAAACTGGGGGCTGCGCATCAGACACGGAGCTGGCCACATCCGCTATGAAAGAGGGGGGGACGGAGAGCGGGTACTTATAGTCCTTCTTTTCCTGGGCGACCCCCAAAACAACGAAAGGGAACCCTTTGTCGGTGACGCTTGTGCAGGCAAAGCGCCACCTCTGGCGGCTGCAAGGGCTCCACCATGGAGGGCTCCACCGCCAGGGCCTCACTTTCCTGCGGTCCCTCATCATCCGTAATCACGATGTCCTGACTTACCTGGCCTGGCTGGCCAGCCTCTTCATCAGAATCATCAATGACTTCTGTTTGGAACACAAGGGTGGGGGGCAAAGGGGCCACTGAAGAGCCCTCCAACTGCTCTGTTTCGAAGGCATAGGCATAGGCATAGGCTGGGGGCCTAAGGTCAGCCAAAGAGTCTTCAGCAGCAGGGGCCAGTTGGCTATGCTCAAGACACTGCATGTTGCGGATTGGCGTGGCCACTGATGGGACCACTTTCCCACCAACGGCCTTACACGGCTCTAACTCTTGGTGTTCCACTTCTTCAGGCATGCATGGGGCCCATTGTGTTTCTCTCATCTCGAGATCACGGTCGGGTGCATGGAGGGGCGGCTCCGAGAAACTCAGGGCGAACATGCGGCGGCTCGCAGCAGCCTCCCTTTCAACAACTGCCTTGTCCAGCTCAGGCTCCTCATTGGCATCATGCTCACCTTGCAGGCCGGAATTGGGAGAGCTGGGCTTGGGTGTGGAAAGCACCGGGCCTGAGAAATCAGCATCGCCCACGGGGACCAGATACTCACCCATAATCTCAACCCCATCGTCCAAGTCTTCCGGTTGACCATCGCTTTTTTTTCTCAGGGATGGTCGGCTTTTTTTGGGATTCGGCTTCATGATGGCCATGAGCTTCCGGGCAACCTTAATTGCGGCCATGTTGAAGCCAACATAATTAGCGAAGACAAGCACCCACCCACCCACCCACCCACCCACCCACCCCACCCACCCACCCACCCACCCACCCACACACACGCACACACGCACGCACGCATGCACCCACGCACGCACGCACGCACGCACGCACGCAGGCGCACCCCCCCCCACCCACACACACACACAGACACACACACACACACAGACACACACACAGACACATACACCCACACACACACACCCACACACACACACCCACACACACACACCCACACCCACACCCACACCTACACACCCACACCACACCCACACCCACACCCACACCCACACCCACACCCCCACCCCCCGCCCGCCCCCACCCCGCCACGCGCACGCGCACACGCACGCGCACGTCGCGCACGCGCACACGCACACGCACACACACACGCGCACGCGCACGCGCACGCGCACGCGCACACACACACACACACGCGCACACGCACGCACACGCATACACACGCACGCACGCACGACGCAGACACAAACGCGTGCGCGCTCACGCAGACATACAGACACAAACACAGACACAGATACAGACACAGACACAGATACAGATACAAACACACACACAAACACAGACACACACACACAGAGACAGAGACACACAGACGCAAACAGACACACACACACACAGACACAGACACACACACACACACACACACACACACACACACACACACACACACACACACACACACACACACACACACACACACACACACACACACACACCCGCGCGCGCGCGCGCGCGCCACACACGCGCGCGCGCGTGCGCACACATGCACACGCACACAGATGCGCGTGGCGCACGCACACACGTACGCAGGCATGCACGCAGAAGCGCAGAAATACATAACAAACAAACTGCAAGCGACATGCAAGACAAATGCGACACACATGAGCCACATAATGAAATTGCAGAAGCAACTGCGCAATCACACATGCGCATGCGCACTGACACGCGTGCGCACTCGCGCACATGGACGGGCGATATATATTTATTTCATCAGGTAATGCGCCACTCCAAGCAGCAGCTGTGTCTGTTTTTCTTGCGCACGCCTTCCTCCAGTACCGGCGGGCGAATGAGAGAATCCCAAATAGCAAGTACCCTTCCTTGGCTGACTGTTTATGGGTCCAAAGGTCTGAGATTTGACAGCCGTGGCTTCAATGAGTTTGACATGCAATTGGGCCCCTCAGCACACCCAAATTGTGGTCAAGAGTCATCAGAGGCCCACCGTTTCCTTTCCTTGATGTACTTTTTCTGGCTGAGCTTGTGACCGGATTCACTGTCCATTTGGGCAAATGCGAGAGCCAAGGATTGAACATTGATGTCGCCTGAAGCTGCACTAGTTTGGGAACTCGGCAAATCCGAGGCAACCGTGCAAAAGAAAATGAGGCCCACTGTAACTCTCAAATCTAGGCAGGCAACCCATAGGGGAATAAGTATACAATGCCTCGACCAGATCGATATACTTCTCCAAATGGTTCATTCCCACTTTCGCGGGATCATCAATGTCAGGGAACAAAGTGTTATCAGGCGGCGTGGCGGAAGCGCAATCCAGGCTTGCCGTGCCAGGAAGTTGCAGCTTCACGATGCCTGCAGCACTGCCAGTTTGCAACTACATGCTTCTAGCGGTCACGCCATGCAAGGCTTGCAAACAGGCGGCTCAGAATCGTTGATACATGGGGTTCGCTCGGCTGCATCCCAGCTAAAGCGCAGGCACTAGCCAACCACTCTCCTAAGACTGAGCCCAACCAGCTACGTAGGTACATATATGCAGCAGTTGCTCAAACCGGAACAGCTCCAAAGCCCTTCCCCTCTTTGGCCTCGTCTCTTCCATGCAGGCCGGCTGAAAGGCATCTCCAGCGCTGCAGCTCCAGAGCGACCATGGGATCCGCTGAAAAGTCAAGAGCGCACAGGGCTGTGGAAGAGGGCATGTGTTTGCTCCATCCGGTGTCCAGTTGAGTTGGCAATCAGGGGTTATGAGGCTCAATACAGCTGCATGCAGCGGAACTTGTGGCAACAAAGCCTCTTGAGACTCATGGGCCCTGGTGTTGAACCCCCCGGGCCCTCGTGCTGAAACCCCCCGGGCCCTCGTGCTGAAACCCCCCGGGCCCTCGTGTTGAAACCCCTGGTCTCTCCGGGGCGTCGGCCCAGCTAGTGCCAGGGCCCAGGAGCGTGCTGTGTAAAAGACATTCTGACGGTACATGCTTGGCAAGGGACGGAGCGTGGCAAGCACACCCCTAGGAGTGTTAGGGAAAATAACAAACTAACAAGACAAACAACCAAACAAACAAAACAAACAAGACAAACACACAAACCAGCAAACAAACAAACAAACAAACAAACAAACACACAGACAAACAGACAGACAGACAGACAAACAAACAAACCGACAGGCAGACAGACAGACAGACAGACAGACAGACAAACCAGCAAACAAACAAAGAAGCAAGCAAGCAAACAAGCAAACAAACAAACACACAAACAAACACACAAACAAACACACACAAACAAACAAACAAACAAACAAACAAAACAAACAAACAAACAAACAAACAAACAAACAACCAAACAAACAAAACAAACAAGACAAACACACAAACCCAAAACCAAACAACAAGGCACACAAACCAGCAAACACAAACAAACAAACAAACAAACAAACAAACAAACAAACAAACAAACAAAAACACACAAACAAACAAACAACTAAACAAACAAAAAACATCAAACAAACCAACAAACAAACAAACAAACAAACAAACAAACAGACAGACAGACAGACAGACAGACAGACAGACAAACCAACATGCAACCAACCAACCAACCAACAACCAACCATCCAAACCAAACCAAACCAAACCAAACCAAACCAAACCAAACCAACCAAGCAAACAAACAAACACACAGACAAACACACAAACAAACAACGTATTTTCCGTTGGAATGCCCCTGCTTCAACAAGCAATTGAAATTGATTGTTCGATGGTGGCTCGATGGTGGCTCCAACGCAACTAGTTGGGGAGTTGAGGCACATTTGCGGTGCTTGGCTGTTTAAGCTGATGAACATAAATCAACCAAGTCATAAAAACAACAGGTCGGCAAACTGAGGAACAACATTTTTGCTCATGTGCCATGACTTGATAACCCGTCGCATTGTTTGCTCCGTTTTGGGTTTCAACATGTAAGCGAGATGAAACTAATCTTCTCAGTCAGGGGCCCGTAGATGAGTAGCATCTGACAGAAAGCTTCTACGCAAGCCATGTTAGGTGCTATCCATCCACCGAAAGACAATGCTTCTACGTACAGTTACCCTTCCTCCCGCTAACATAGCATGCTGTGGCAACGTGGGACCCGTTCAACGGGTGAGTCTCAATCAACACCCGATACTAAAATTGTCGACCCAAATCCATGTAAGGACATTAAATGGCAACCGAAACTATTGCCTGCCCGTTGCCCGGGCTTTGAGTAAGTGGCTCAGGTCAAATGGACTGCCCTCAGATCCCTTGCTAAAAGTCACTTTCAGAGGGGCAAATCGGAAACCCAACCACCTTGCACCAGCGAAAAAGATCATTCAACAGCTAAGTTGAACCGGATGAATCGCTGGGAGCCACCACTAGGTAGAGAGGTTAGAATAAGGATGCCCCTTTTTCCGGTAGTCTATTTTAGTAGGTGAACCCTCCCAACCAAAAAAGGGGTGAGAAAGGGCTGGGGGACCTAGACCAAGTCTGGGCAAACTCAGCCATCCTTTGGCTCCGAGTCGCAGGCCGCCGATGCGTCAGCATCCAGCTGCAGCCAGCTCTGCACCAGGCTGCCCAGAAGACTTTGCAGAGGAGCGAGCAATGCGTCCTGAGCCCACCACTCCTCCACCCCTCCACTTGGGCCACCCCCCTTCTAACGAGGGGAAACCAACAGGCAAACCATCTTACATTACAAATATATATATATATATGCGTATTAATATGTTTTGTTTAACGAACTTTTCTCTTTTTTCCTTTTGTTTTTTTTTTGGGGGGGGGGGGGTGGTCCAACCTGCAAAAAGACACACCCAGTTCGCTTCTTGTTACATGACCTGAAACGGGTTTCCCATGCCTTTCTGAAACACAATCGCAAGAAGCAATAAACCAAACTCTGCCTGGAGCTTTTCATGGTTCGCGTGGTTTACCTTGCCATTCTAAATCCATTGGCCGAAGACCGCGACAAGGATAGAAGATTGAAATCGCATCGGAATGCTGCCCTTGGATGTTAGCCAATGTTGATTCACTTGGAGCAATGCTGGATGATCCCGCTTCCCTTAAGAATATGTCCTTACGATGCTTATCAAGGATTTGATTCACGATCGATAGCCAGCCCTATCGAGTTACTGGCCGCGCTGGCGATAGCAAACCCATGGGGGTTGATCAAAATTTCCTTTACATGGCATGACCATTGGGCAAAACCACAAAACATATGATAGATCCCACATGGGAAAAGTTACCCATGGTCAACACCGGGGGCCCTAAATGGAATATTGATCCCCCCCCACCCACATCCACCTTTTCGGAGGTGCCAATGAAGGTCAAGCATCTGGAATCACAGCCAGGGTCGTGGCAACTTTGGCCACGAGGCTCCCTGATTCTGGGCAATCTCTAGAAGTCACGCAAAGGCGTACAAGCACGCGGAGGAACAGGGATGCCAGCATTTGCCGAACGCTGTTCGGCATACCTCAGTGCCAGGAGTGGTCAGATCTCAGACCTCCAAGATTGCTTCCGATGTGGGCGTGCTTTTGTAGCTGACATGGGAATTGGGTGAGCAACATCTCCCACTGGTAGTTTGCTGAGTGTGGCTCATGTGATCTCTGTGACTACCGTAGACTAGTATTATAGATGGCCGCAAAAAATGACGGTTGTTCATATGATAACGTGTGGGGGGGGGGGGTTTTCGCTTGCTTGTTTCGGCTGGCATATGATGCTGCAAAAACGCCCGCGCACACAAATAGCAGGGAAGGACGAATGTGTTTGCTTCCACCTGGCACAAGCAGACCCAAAGGGCTCCACACGTCATGACCCAACATCTCGACGAAACACACCTGAGAGGCCGCACAGGTTTGAATCGAAGAGGCTTGGATTTGCGAGTTGGAACGTCAAAAGTGTGCCTAAAGTGTCCCATTGCGAATCATCCTTTCAAGCCATCACTTTGCACGTGGCGATGCAATCCAAACCGTCTTGAATCAACCAGCCAGATTGACATGGGCAAACTAGGACAGCAAGCTCACGCAGGTGAGGTCAGACCTGCAAAGCTCCCTCGATACGCGCTGAAAGGTATCTCAAACTTAGAACTCCGCTCAGCAATGTCACAAGCCCAAGCTAGCTTCTAGGTACAACATGGGTTTGTCTGTAAATGAGGCCCCAAAATGAATGTTGTCCATGGTTTCCCTTGAAGAAACCTAAAACAAGGGACCCTAAAAATAGACACACCCCCAAACATGTTGGGACAATTTGACTGCAGCCTGTCTAGACTGTATAACTTGGCGGGCTCGCTCGAATCCTATTTGTCCATGGCTGCTTGACTGTCCACTGTTGCCTTTGGCCGTGTTGTGTCCAAAGCAAGCATAACCTCTCACTTCCAGGACTGGCCACGGTTTGTTTGCGACTAAAATGCTGCAAACCCAAAAGGTGACGAAAGTCACTGAACTCATGGAGTGAGAACGCAAGCGTGACTTGCCCCCTCTCGTCCCCAGCTTCACTCACTAGGTTCCAGCCCAGCTTCGCAGCAGCATCTCGCTGCTGAAAAACCTGACAAGAGGAAAAGCGGAGCTGCTTGACGCCCCAAAGGACCTAGTCTTCATGGTCAACCTTTTAGGACATCGAGTTACAACAGACCACCAGGAAACCAAAAGGTGAAAAAGTCAAAGTCGGACTAGTGAGTGGTCTAAAGCAGGGTTGCCGCCGTGGCCTGTTAAATTATTTTGGACATGCGGTCAGCACCGCAACGTTGGCAAACATCAACAGCGCGCTTCCCCTGTTTCAGAGGACACGTCTCACAGCCAAAAAACTGTTGAGGAACAGCGAAGGGAGCCCACCCTTCGAACACATCGTGACGCTGTGGCCCCAGGTAGAACCAGGACCACTAGTCAAAGGGAAATAGCCCCAACCAATTATTCCATGGAGAAATCACTTACCTGATGGCAAGGGACATCCGAGTCGCCTGCCACCCCCTCTCCTTCTCTGACCCCTAACCCCCCCCCCACACGCACCTGTGTCGCCCCGAAGCGAACCCACCCGAGCCAACCCAACCCACCATGACAATTTCACGGAACCTCCACCAAGCCTAGGGGGTTTTGGCTAAGCTAGACTCGTTACCCTTTTGGTGTTGCTTGGTCTTGGGAAATCAAATGACAGCTAGCCAAGTTTCAGCCGTTTCAAACTCGAAACCACATTTGGAAACCCGCTTTGATCCCTGAAATCAGCTTCCCTCCAATCGGCGGTTTGGAATGGTGGGTTGGTGAAGGTGGGTTTCCAATTAGCCCTGTGCAACATCCAAATCCGAACAACCAATCCAAACAACCAACCAAGGGTTACCTAAGGTAACGCCCTACCAAAAATTCGAAACCGCATGTGGAAATCCGCTTTGACCCCTGTAACCTTCACCTTCATTGACAAGTTGTTTCTTGGCTTTTTAGCTCCATCCAATCTTAGCAGGGGGCTGCAACAAAAAAAACAAACGTTTTTCGCTACCATGCCAGGAGGTTGTAACTCCTTTAGCGCCCTACCGCTTTTTTGATCCTTTTCCGAAACCGAGGGCCGGACCGCACCACGTCGACCCGCTTCGCCCGAAAGCGATTCGGCCGCCTCTGGGCCAAGTCCAGGGCCTGCGCGGGCTCCAAATCCCCCGACTCCGAGGATGCCAGGGCCTCCAGCACCAAACGCACCGGAGTGAAGTGCACCGCCTGCCGGGGAAACAAAACGCACGAAGGAACCACAAAACGAGAAAACTGCTAGGTCCTCCAGATTTGAGAGGTTCGAATAAGGGTACTTCTACTCAATTGTTGGTGTTCAAAGGATAGATAGGGGAGTTGCAGCTGGGATTAGCTTTGGGTTTGAAGGTTGAACTTGCCAAAAGGACCTGGACTTAAAAGGTGATCATCTTGCCCCGCCTTGACCGGGTAACTAAATCAGGGAAACCTACAAAAAGGAAAGCCACACAAATCATACCAGGTCGATTCGCTTTGTGAATGCTCCTTGCCCCGCCTTGACCGCAAAGAGCGCCTCCAGTAGCCTGAAACGGTAGGGAATGAGAAGTCGAATGAACCCAGGCTTTGGTCTCAAAGGAAACCACAAGGGATGGTTCATAGGGGTCGTTGCCTCATTTTTTCTGGTGAACACCAGCAAGTTTCAAGAGTCTCGAAAGGTTTCTCAAACTGCGTGAAAAGCTGAAGATTTCAATTGCTTCAAGCATCTGCTTGAGTGAAAAACCACCTTTCACAGCGAGATTCGACACAAAGCCATGTAAGTCATCGCCCAAACCTATGGGTGGGGGAAAAGAGAACATCAGCCGCCCAACATCCGCAAGAAATCACCTCCTGGCAAGTGCATACTTCCAGTCTAAACGTGCTGCTGCGTGCTGTTTTTTGCCATCCCTTTTGCTGTGTATCTTTCATCACGCTCCTGAAGAAGGGTTTGAACAGAGCGCAGGTTCAAATTCCAGTCCCGGAGAATGCGTGCTAGGTTCTGCTCAGGGACGAAATTGCCCCAGAAACACTCAGAAAGTTTGTACTGTCATGGGCTGCTGGGGGGGAGGGGGGAGGGAACCCAAAGAGGCCTTTCTTGGGCCCTCTCAATAAGGCCTGATTATGGAGTCACAATCAAAACCCGGTACTAAAATGGTCTACCCGGAACCATGTCAGGAATTAAGAAGGCGGCCGCAGCTAGTTATGGCTGGGATTGTCCCTTACCAACCTTCATCTACCCGGGTTATGATTGTGGCTCATGGGCTTCTGTGGGCTCCCTTCCCCCCCCCGCCTCCCTGCTCCCCAGCCACCCAACCCCCATGACATTGGAGACCCTTTGGAGGAAAAAATCCTCCAGCGACGAATTGAGGCAGCTGGCCCTTGCTGCCCACATAGGCAATCTCACCGTTGGGATATGTGGGGGTTGCTGACAAATAAGCCCAAAAAATGTGACCAAACCAATAAACTGGGATATGTGAAGCTTGGTTTGTCCCCAATTAATGTGACCAAACCAATCAACCGGGCATATGTGAAGCTTGGTTTGTGGACCTTCAACGCAAGCTTCGGCTTTTGGTGGCGGGGGGTGCGGATCTAGGGGTAACTTCCCCATTCTTTCCAGGGATCCTTCTTTCTAGAACACCACCAAAAACTCTAGGAAAATGGCTGGTTTTGAAAAGAACGATGGGTGCAAAGAATGGAAAAGGAACCAACCCCTAGAATAGAGCTCTCGCTTTGCGCCTCGCTGCTTTGCCACCCCGCAGGAAGTTGCTGAAGAAACGCACCGCCTGCCGCTCGAAGGTTCGCCTAACGAGGCGAGCGAACCGGCACCCCTTCGGGTTGAAAAGCTCGTATACCAGCGGCAGAGGATCTAGGGGTTGATTCCCTATTAGTGGTTTAATGGAAACCCATTAGTTGGCAAAAAGTTAAAATCCTAACATCCAAGCAAAAAAGGATCTTTCTGGGGGTTGATTCCTTTTACATTCTTTTGAACCATCGTTCTTTTCAGGAAATCATCCATTTTCGCTGGGTTTCCGGAGGTTTGCTCGAAAGAAGGATCCCTGGAAAGAAAGAATGAGGAAGGTACCCCTAGAGAAGAGCTACCAAACAATGGGAAGGTCCCAAAAAACATAGTCCCCCAAACATGTCTAAAGAGTGGCCTCATTCAAACAAAATGAACAAACAAATTACGGCATTACGGCTAAAGAGTGGTTTACCAAACATTGGCCCCAACCTTGGTGGTCAAACGGTAGCTCCGACATGAAACCTCCAAAGTGGTTGCTATCCTTGCGATCCCTGGAAAACGCCATTCGCAAAATCGGGGGTGACTCAAGGAAAGACACTCGGGCCGGGGGAAGCAACATGTGGTAACTGTCGACTGAACCCGCAAGGATGGTCAGTGTTTAACGTGAATCAATTGTCAATGTGCCTTTCTTTGTAATAAGTTGATTTGTACCCTCCTAGACCTCTCGACTGACACCTGAACAGTGACCCACTCAATCAACGGTCATTTGTAAGCAAACCGGTGGAAGTGGCAATCTCTGTTTTTCCTTTGCTCTCTACCGGTGGACAACCAAACGGCAAGCCACAACTTAGGTCCAGAAAGGGATGACTGTTGAATAACCCAAGTCCAAGCGCCAGCGGCTTGGCGCGGGGATTGCCAATATGCAGCCGCTGAGTTTGTGTTTTGCTCAACACGGGGATCCCAAATTCCGCGATCCGTAGGGGGACACCAGACAACCACGCAATCCATGTGGGCGATGTATAGCAGCATTTGACCCATGCGGAGGGTACATGTTGGTAATGTTAGGGCCGCGTGAAGACCAGGCGTCGCTATTATAATAGTATTCAGAATCCTGTGACTGTTTGAAGGGTTGCTTCAATAACCTTTGCTTCTGCCAGAAAAAAAAACGGGCAACGACAATTGGGGGAAAAAAACAAAACATCGGGCAACACAAACATCGGCAAACACATCCTAGCAAACCCTAGAAGTTCCTTGTTTCAAGTGGTCCCCAAACCATCAAATTTACGAAACTTCTTTAAACAAAAGGCAGGCCGAGCAGTCGCACAAAAGAATTTCCCACAAGAGGCCCTGGATCTGTATAACTGTTTTGAGGTTCGCTTTGATAACATCGGTTTTGGGGGTTGCGACAGTTCCCAAATCAACACCTCGTCCTTTTACTTTCAAGAATTAACGATGCTAAATTAAGTACCAGGAATCTGAGAGAAAGGCTTGGCAATCCTCAATTTAGAATTGGCAATACTAAATTGAGTACCCTTCCTCCAACTAATATGGCACCTGTGCGAGGGTACCTGCAAGATCGGTTTACTCTCCAAGGGGCCCTCTGTCAGAAGCCATGTTAGTGGAAGGGAGGGTACATTGGCAAGTCGATGTCGAACCCAGACCGCGAGATTTGCACCGAAGAAAACGTCGGTGACTGGTTTGCACTGCTCGGGGGGGGGGACTATTAAGCAGCCCCAACACTAAAAATTGCCTGCATGGACTGTGTGGGTTACAACAAGGGAAAGCCGTAACGGCTTCCAAGGATTGATTTTGAGCGGAGCTAAATTGCCGTCGGCGGTCTCCACATCAGTCCGCAGGTAGAGGCTGTCAATGCCATGGCCAAATCTTGGCAGGACCTCCGTCAGGATGAAGCTCTCAGACAGGCAGGCAGCTTCATCCAAGCCTGAGCGCTTGGAAGCTGTAAGCTACATCACGACTCGCGACGGCTACCCTCCCACCAACTAACATGGAAGTGCACAAAGGCCATTTCCAAGAGGAAAGTAGTCTTTGTATAGGGGTCTGTGCACTTCCATGTTAGCTGGTAGGAGGGTAATGTTTCTTGTTGTTGCCTTGGCACAGGCATACACCCTGGAACACCTCACAAATGGTTGCCCTCGACCTCTCTCACCGTGAACATGATGACCAGCCGCTTTCTGTCGGTGCCATTGGCAATTGGAGAGGGGTTCTGTGTATACTAGCGCCTGCCTGAGTTCCAGTCTGCATTCTTGCTACAGATTTGGTTCTTTGGCTCCATGATTTGCCAGGTGGCTGTGGGTCAAAACCAATGGGATCCCATTTTGGGGTAGGTGAATTCGCCACCCATGTTGGTCTTCACTGGAATTTTGACCCATGGCCATGTGTCTGTGTTGGGCCGAGATTCGGTGGGGTTCAGTATGATTGCGCATGGGTTTAGAGTGGCACGGAGCCAGCAGGGTTGCTCAACAACTTTGGCTGCAGGCTCAGGTGATTAAACTGTCCCAAATAATCCGAACTCAACAAACGCACTCACTTCCGATCGAGTGGATAGCCCAGAAAAAGTCCATCGTTGCTTATTTACAACAAAGATGGTCCTACCTAAAAGTTGAAAGTCCATGAAAGTTGAAAGTCCATGAACTCAGGGAGTGAGCACAACAATACCTCTAAAGCAAAAAACCCACGTGTCTCAAGCAACTCGAAGGACGGCAGTTGCAATCGCCGCACTGGCCTGGCCCCAAGAAAAATTGGACAAACGAACAAGTGGAGATACGGAGGGAGCGGGGATATGGGGGGATTCCA